ATATCATTGTATCACAAATGAATACTCATTTTGAGTACATATATACCATTCAAATCTCAAGGATTGAGTTTTCAAATGAATTTATGTACATGATTTGGGCGTCAAGCCTTTATAATTGGTACTTAATCGTAAAATAATAGTACCTTGAGTGGAAAATACTCATTAACTCAAATATTCAATGTTGATTATCATCACTTAGACCTTGAGTCTAATGTATTCAATTGAGACTTACAGTCTTCAAATTTATTCTAGGCCTCAAGTCTTTATATTTAATATTCCTCCACATAATCTTTCAAGCTTTCATATTTAAATTAGGCTTTAATTTGAGCCTAAAATTTATGAACTTCGAGTTCTTTTTTCGATTGATGGAGCTTTTCAAGTTGCATAAACTAGAGAGAAAGTGGTTTTTTTTCCTTCTTAATATACCACTCAAATCTTCGAGTCACTTGATTGCACGTGCTCGATTTGGGCTTCAAGCCTCAATATATAATAAAAATCGTAATAGTACTTTGATCATGAAAGAATGGTACTATAAATGGGGAATACCCTCTAACTCAAATGTTCAAGAGTCTTATCATTTAGACTTAAAGTCTAATATACTCAATCGATATTTTTAATCTCGTATGTAATCTAGGCTCTAGGCCTATAACCGTCCCTTTTTTTATTTTTAGAACATCATGTTCAAAGTTCGCACAAATGGCAGCTTTGGCAGAGCTGAGTATTTTAAGCATATCTCTCTTGATCGACATCCGATTTCGATAATGCAAAATATTCCGAAAATCCAACAGAAAAGTCCACAAGTTTCATATTTTGAATTTTCTGAAATTCGGACAGTATCAGGTCCAAAACAGGCATCGAAGAACAGACTCGTGAATTGCACAAAAATTCACCTACAACAAAATTAAGATAATTAATATTTAATCAATTTAAAACAACAATAAAATATTTGAAATCAACTCCCTTCTCATCTTCTATGGTTGAGAAGTAATTATCTTCTTTGGATCATCTTTACTCGTAAATGGAAATAGAACAATCGTGATGATAACGTGTTGAGAAACTAAAAAAGAAGAACAAAGCAAAGATGAATTAACATAATAATATAGAGAGAAACAAGTATATCTTCTTGTGTTCTTCTTGTGTGTGCAACTCAAAACAATGGAGCACTATATCTAGTACAAGTAAGACCATGAAAGGTCATGAGTTACAAGGAGTTATGGGGATATAATGGTGAGTAAATGGTGGGAGTAGTGGTGGGAGTAATGGTGCTTGATGATGGTAGTAATGGTGGTCATCCACACTTAAGAATTCATAACAATTATTTTTTTTTGGGTTTTTTGTTTTGTTTTAGTTATTGATGGAGTAACGTAATAATATTACTGTCTATTATTGTAATATTACTGTAAACACAATAATATTAGTGTTTTTATAGTAATATTGATGTCAACCACATCAATATTATTATTTTGTTTTGATTTTTTTTGTTTGTTTGAGTTATTCACGGAGTAACACAATAATATTACTGTCTATTATTGTAATATTAATGTGGTTGACGGTAATATTACTGTTGTTATAGTAATATTACTGTCTCTCACAGTAATATTAATTCTTTTGGCTTTTTATTATGTTTACATTTGTTGAACGATCAACATAGTAATATTACTCAATTACACAATAATAATGAGTTTTGTTGTGTTAATATTATTGTGCTAGAGATTAATATAGCATTACTGTGTTAAACTGTAGTACAATTAATTTTACTATGTTTAAGAGTAATAAAGATAATATTACTGTCAATCACATAGATATTGTTGTTTAAACGAAAAAAAAATTGTTACAGAAAAAGAAAAAAAACGAAAAAGTCAACGGCAGAAACCGATAGGCGGAAAAATCAGGACAAAAAAAGAAAAAAAAAAGTCAACGCCGGAAACCGGCAAAAAATTTGGAAGAAAAATAAAATGAAAAGTCAATTCCGGAATCCGGCGGCAAAAAAATTTTTGAAAAAAAGGTTTTGGGTCAAAATTGAATAATTTGTAAAATTTGGGGTTAAATTGAGGTTAAATTAAATTAATGATGAAATTGGAGCATATTAAAGTATGAGGGGCTATTTTAGTTTTTACAAAAATATGGACCATGTTTGCACTTATTTGTAAAAGATTTTTTTTGTCTGGATTTATTTATGAATAAATATCCATTGATGGGCTTATTTGTAAATACAACCGTTATTAGAAAAACATGTCGGCCGTTTTTATTAGAATTTAATTCCAGGTAGGAATACAACATCTGTACATGTACTCAATATTGTCAGAACCGGACTGGACACAAAACCGGCTATACATTTGGGTCATGGTTGGATCGGTTCAACCGGGGTCAACCCGTGTTTTTTAATTTTAAATTATTTATTTATAATTTTAAAGTGATTATCTTAATATAAATTAAAACATATTTTGATCATTAACTATCAACATAAAAATAAAGCTTTATTTTATTTATTAATCATATAATCATAATTGAAACACAAAGAAAATTAATTCTGCAATATTAAATTTTAGAAAATACAAATATCTTAATAAATTTATCTAACATAATTTCCTTAATGAGATAAAACTATAGGCGTAAATTTTATTCCCAACGAGCAATAAATAAATGAATTTCATAAAATTACAATAATGATAATTAGTTATTTAATAATAGAATCAATATAAATCAGTGTTCTAAAAATCGGTCAAGGCGGCCGATTATCGGTCTCCGAGGCGGAGGCGGTCCAAAACCTTTATGATTTTAGTGTAAAGGTTTGAAAATTTGGTTTTTTGCCTATGAGGCGGTTTTAGGCAGTTTGAGGCGGTCCGAGGCGGTCTGAGACGGTCTGAGGCGGTCCGAGGCGGTCAAACCTTTAAGGCGGGTCAAACTTTGGTGGCACCGATTTATTTCCGATTAATCACCGCTGCACCGATTAATCATGTCCGACTCAATTGCCGCGTTTTACAACCTTGATATAAATTACTACCCAAACCCTAATTTGTTTCATTGTGCCGTCTATTCTCTCTCACAACGCCTCTTCATCTTTTGCCTCTTTTTCATTCCATTCAACAATGGTGCTTCCCCTTCCCAACAAAATACACATAATCAAATCTTTCATTAAATCTGCAGCAAATTGGCAAACCGCATGAGAAGAGTAGGACGATTTTTCCCCCTCCGTTTCACCTATTCCCTTTATGTTTTGATATTGAATCCGGTTAAAGCCGGTGTTCAACTGGTTCAACCGGCGGTTTTCGCGGTTCAATCGGCGGTTTTTTGCGGTTCAACCGGCTCCTTTCCGGGTCCAAATTAATTGACCCCGGTTTTTTACTTTTCCGGGTCTTTGTATTGAACCGGATCATGCCATCACCGGGTCCCGATTGAACTGGTCGGACCGGCCGATCCGGTTCCGACAACATTGTTGATCTACCATTCAGTTTTATGGAATTAAAATATCATAGTTTTAAATATTGTTTAGAATAAAAATATAAAATCTTAACCCTAATTTAACCCTGATAACTTCGATAGTTAAATCAAAATTTAAATAGAGTAATTTGAGGATGGTATGAGTAGAATCTTTCTTTCACAAATAAGAGTGTTACTATTTGCAGCGGGGCTTTTACTGAAATTGGCTTATTTGCAGCGGTACCTTTTTCATTTTAATTTTTTCAAATTTCAATTTATCTCTCCTATTCCCAAACACTCTCTAGAAATTCGAATTTCGTAAACTTTTTCAACATTCAAACCGTACAAACGAGGCTCGATTCCGGTAAGTTTTCGATTTCCTACTACTTTGAATTATTTTTATTTCCAATTTAGGTAAAAACACATGTTTAGGAATAGATCTAGCAAAATTTTGGAAAAACAAATTGAAAAAATTACGGCATCCGTGTTCTGGAGCACGGAATCTTTACATTCTCGTGTTCTATAAAACAGGAGCTTCAAACCCTTTTTTAAATTTTAATTTTCTGAAATAAATTAAAAATAAAAAATTATTTAAAGTTCCCGTCTTGAAGAACACGGGAACTTGAAGAATTTTTAGTTTCCCGTGTTCTGTAGGACGGGGACTTCAAAAATTTTGGGTTACCCGTTCTGCAAAGCACGGGAACTTGAAGATTCTTCAAGTTCCCGTGTTCTGCAGAACGGGAAACTCAAATTAATTTTTTTTTTTTTTTGATATTATTTAATTTAATTAGTTTTTCTATCTTTTTCAGATGGCACGTCAGGACAAGGGGAAAGGGCTTATGGGTGCATCTTCGAGTTCGGATAAAGTTCCGAAGATTAAATTTCGGTATGGCGGGGAAGCCGCGGCGGAAGCGGAGCGCATTCGTATGACTGCATCTCACCGTCGTAAGAGAGTTATGGAGCGCGACACTGATTTACCCGTCGTGGACGAGATTCCCCACATAGATCATAGTTCTAGATCTATGGCGCGTAGCATTCGATCTTTAGGGGCAGATTCTCGTATCCCCTACGAGGGACACGAGGAGGAGCAGGACCATGTTGGGAGCGATTTTGATAATGTTCCCGTCCCGGTTGAGCGCGCACGGAAGTCTCGGTACGAGTTCGACACTTTTAGTGGCCCACTTGAGTTACGTGGTCCGGCTCCAGGAGGACCGACTGATTGGAGGATGATTCCTAGTTTCAAGAGTCATATTGCCTACTACATTTGGGCAGGACATGTAAGTTTAAATATATTTATTTTTGTATATTTTAAATATATTTATTTTAATATACTTTTTCTAATTAAATTAGAAATTCTACAGGAGCGCAGCGTCGGGCGATGTGAGTCCAGGATTACTGCGCTTAATGATTTTAAGAAACATGAGTTGAAGCAACTCATGGCTCCTTACGGGCAGCATGAGTTAGAGCTACTGGAGGCATCTGGCCTAGGCTCACTCGAGCACTTCTACATGAAAAATGTAGACAAGGGACTCATGGGGGCATTTATAGAGAGGTAGCAGCCGGAAACGAACAGTTTCCACATGCCTTGGGGTGAGACGACGATCACCCTACATGATGTCGCATTGATTTTGGGGTTGCGTGTTGACGGTCTAGCAGTGCACGGTGATTCTATTGAGGAGAGGCCTATGTGTGAGTTGTTGCTAGCTGAGGTTCTTGATTTGGACATGGTCGAGGCGCATGCCAAGCTCGGCAATAGTGGGATAAAATGGTCGGAGTTTGTGGAGCGTGTGCGCAGTCGGTCTCGATCTTGTCGGCAGAAGGTGGTAGGATATTTGACGTTTTTGATCAGTATGGCTTTGTTCCCCGACCGGAGTATAGACAGGTTCAAGCCAACGTGGATGAGATATTTTTCCGATCTCGAGCACGTCGGCGAATATGCTTGGGGTGGAGCTGTCTTGGCTCATTTATACCGACAGTTGGGCTTGGTAGTAAGGCCCACGTGAAGGGGTTACAGGGTTGCACGTTACTGCTCCAGGTATTTAAGTAGTATTTTAATATAATGTATTATACTCAATAGATTATGTTAATAATGTAGTATTAATTAGTATAAGTTAGATACTTATATACTTATATAATCTAGTTTAATAATATATTAATTGAATATAATATACTATAATTTAATATAATATATTATAGTCAATATATTATGTTAATAATGTAGTATTAATTAGTATAACTTAGATACTTATATAATATAATCTAGTTTAATAATATATTAATTGAATATAATATATTGTAATTTAATATAATATATTATAGTCAGTATATTATTATAATTAGTATAACGTATGTAGTTATATAATATAGTCTAATAGTACATTAATTTAATATAATATATTGTAATTTAATATAATATTAATCTAATATAGTCTCGTTTATTTGTAGTGCTGGATTTATGAGTACTTTCGCCCTTTGCGAGCACCTATTAATTCGGATTATAGAGAGATGCAGCCTCGTTTCCTGAAATGGAAACCACGCAAGGGTATTTCGGACTTGATCTCGGTCCGAAGGATGCTTGATGATATGCAGGCCGATCAGGTATGTATTTTAATTGTTAAATTTATTTATTATTAATTATTATGTAAATTTAATTTTTATTACGTTAATCTAATTTTCCAGATTGACTGGATGCCTTACGGTCCGCACGTACATAGACGCGTTCCGCGTACATTATATTATGGGTGCATACCGTTTATGGAGATTATCGAGCCATATTTACCGGATCGCGTCCTTCGGCAGTTTGGCTTTAGACAGACCATACCGCAGTGCTACATTCAGTCCGGAGAGCCGTGCCTACGTGGTCCGCTTGGAGGGCAGACATACCGGATATGGTATGATCCTCCAGGCGAGGAATGGATGGACCTGGCTGCCAGCTCGATTACGTTTGACGGTAGGACATTAGCCTGACCGCCGTCTGAGACTGCTGCTCGGTACATGGAGTGGTACGTTCCTCGTACGCATCAGTACGTCATCAACCGGGATCCAGCGCCACAAGGACCACTGACAGTCGCACGCCCCCCTCCTATTCAGCCGGACTTCTATGACATTGTGCGTATCATCCATCCGCACATGCACGAGACACCCCAGCATCTACGTGTGCAGTTACAGCCTCGTGTGGAGCCACACGCACGTTTTCTAGGTTTATCCCCCACCGGAGATTCCGACAACGACGACTTTATGGAGATGCCACCACCGCGTCGGCGACCGGGTGGGACGATTGGCACTTCGAGGAGGTCTACCGGTAGACAGTAGACGATCGTTATATTTGTTTGACATTTATTTGTTTTTTTGTGACATTTGGCTTTGTTTTGTATTTGTTTGACATTTATTTGTTTTTTGTGACATTTGGCTATGTTTTGTACTTGCTTTACTGTTTTCAGTTATTTTTGTTTGACTATTATTTATGTTATTTTTGTTTGACTATTATTTATGTTATTTTTGTTTCGGGTTTAATTTCAAATACATACCAACTAAAATAAAATAATACAAGGTTCAAATACATACCAACTAAAATAAAATAATACAAGGTTCAAATACATACCAACTAAAATAAAATAATACAAGGTTCAAATACATACCAACTAAAATAAAATAATACAAGGTTCAAATACATTCCAACTAAAATAAAATAATACTAGGTTCAAATACATTCCAACTAAAATAAAATAATACAAGGTCCAAATACATTCCAACAAAAATAAAATGCCTATCCCAACCTAGATAAACGACGCCACATGTATAGGCGTTCTTCGAACATTTCCGACAAGTGGGCAAGATTTGCGGCTCTAACAGGTCGCCACTGTGGAGTGATAGGTGGTAGAGGACAATTAACCGGTAACTGGATAAGGACAAAATGGTTTCCTAACAACACCATATGGATCATATGCGATAATTCACTCGGACCAACTAGAGGTAAGTAGGTTATACTTCCGCCAACGGCGTATAAGACCAAAGCCGCATTGTATTTAGTCGCTATCGACATTCCCATATCCGGAAATGACATCCATTTGTCCCGACTGCACGGTCCTTCTTGCCAATCGCATCTTGTAATCCATTGGATGACTTCATCTTGACCATTTTGCGATGCGTACGTACCAAATCGCTCGTACATATCGGCAATCAAATCTCTCCTTACACGACTCCATCTGTGCTGATCTCGGAACACTGCTTCTGCAACACATCTGTACCCACAATTTCCATCTGCTATAACATTAACATATGACACAATAGATCCTGCCACAAAACCTGGGATGTAAGATCTGAAATTGAGCTCAGAGCCCGGTTCCTTTCGAGGCATCGATTACTCTTCTGTTTGGCAGTGGATTCGTCACTTGATCTACCACTCCCTCGACCCCGCCCTCGTCCACGACCAGAACCGGGATCGGTTACTTCGATGGTAGGGTTCCGCTAGAAGTACCTTTTTTGACCCTTAGAACCTGCAGGCGATTTACCCTTTTCTTCATCAGTAGACGACTTCTTCGGGAATGTTGGGTACTCTCCCAACCGGATTTATCTCTCTTCGGTTTATCCTTTGGCCTTCTTTTCGGTATAACATATGCAGGCTCTGCCAAGTGGATGGTGTCTGGATGAATAGTGCTATTCATGTAATCAGCAGTCATCTTTTGAGTCATGTAATCTTTTTCTAACACTTCGGTGGCTAGTCTGATTATTCGGTCTCTCGTATTTGTTTCACGATCCATCTATGCTTCAGGTATTTCTGGTTCTTCAACGTGCATGGTACTCCAAAATGGATGTAGATCCATAGATATAAATGTATCACGTTGCTGGATTTTCAACGCAATTCGGCATGCACATGGAAGTGCATGAGTAACCCACAAAACGTGATCACAAAGAGATGGGTCTTGAAACCCCGGTTTTTTGAGCTCATCATCAAGCAAATTTAATGCTTTATCTGTGACTTTGCATATTAAACCCTGAAATACCAGATACAATGATTTATGCAACCGGATTAAACTGGATTTTGAAAACTCACCCTTGATCTTGGTTAGTTGATACTCAACCCCGGAGTCGAGCTGATATTGAATGGTGTTCACAGCACCGGTAGAAGCACTAATCCAACCCTTCGACGATTTATGAGCACTTTTCACCCTGTTAATAGCCATTAAAATAACAACTAATAATTAAAAACGCCCACAATATAATATAAAATACAAGACGATAATGAAACCAAAAATAACTAGATGTCGACGTGTTCCCAAAATGCAAAATCTTATTAGTCCATGCTTTGACGAATTTGTGATTGTATATTAGCCAAGTATCGTTAAGGTATGATATCAATTTGGGGTAACAACCATAGCGTCTAACCATTTCCTCGTAATTTTCATGGTAATCTTCTTCTGTTTTTTATTCCACTAATTTTGCCCAATGTATGCGCCGCAATATAAGCCCGTGTTTAGTACTACCAATAAATCTCGATGCATTTTTTTCCACGTTTCTATTGATGTGAAACAAACACAAGAAATGAGCGGAATCTGGAAATATTAGGGACATTGCTTTGATGAGTCCCAATTCACGATCCGTCAATATCACATTAGGTACCAGCCCCCCCAATGCACATTTCAAACAACTCAAAGCCATTCATATGTGTTTGCATCTTCATGTGACATGAAAGCAACAACAATTGTAAAATTGTAACAAACAGGAGTGAGTCCAATTATTTCCAAAAGTGGCATCTCATACCTACGTAAATACATAAATATCAAATGCAATCAATGTAAAATAGCACAATACTAAATACTAATTAACAACATACCTATTGGTTTTGTAAGTGCAGTCCATCAATATAGCGTGAGAGAATAACCGCAAAAGTTTCAATGAAATAGGAGCAGCGAACATCAAATCAGTAAGTGTATCATCAGCTTCATTACTTCGATACCAATATTCATATCCAGATTCTTGAAGGTTCGACATCACGTGTTGTATCACAGTCTTCCCCGCCATATTCTCTTTTTTCATCTTCTCAAGTTGGTTGTAGACATGTTTCACTCTCGTTGATGTCTGTGGATTATCCTTTCTCAATCGATCCATGATTAATGCCGGCTTCACGTGGCTCCTTCTAAGTAACTTCACTACCTTGTATTCTTCTGATGTCAAACGACTATCCGGCCCTTGTCCGGTAAGATACGGTAGTGTCGGGTGAGTGTGGGTGCCATTTTTTAAATTTATTCGCCATAGTCCATCGTTTCGATTTTTGCTACTGTATATACGCAAAGGACATCCACATTTCTTTGTTCCCACATTCCGTTGTTTCACACCTTCGGTTCGTTTTTCACGTCCCTTCCCAGGCAAATGACATCTAATTACTACATACACGTTTTTCTTGCTTGAAGTTACTATCAATCGATGACCATGAGTAGCAGCCATTTTTTTTGCCCATTCCACTAATTCTTTCCCAGTTTCAAACTCAACACCTACATTGAAATATTGACTGTGATCCTCAGAAGTTGTTGGTGTGTCTTGAGGAACATCAAAACACATGTTGGGATCCTCGTACTCGTTGTACTGTTTGTCATATTCAGTTCTAAACTCATCGTCAAAATCACCTTCAGTACCCTATTAAGATATAACAAGTAATAATTAATATATAAATAACAATATAAAAAAAATTAATTTGTGGTTCGCGTGCCGCAGAGCACGATCGTTCCTGGTTCCCCTCCTGCATGGCACGGGAACCACAAGTTTCCGTCCTCCACGGCACGGGGACGTGATATTCCCGTGCTACACAGCACGAACTATATATTTAATTTTTTTTTTTTTATGTTCCCGTGTTGTACAACACGGGAACCCCAAATTTTTTGGGTTCCCGTGCTACACAACACGATAGACCCGACGAAAAATTTCACCTTCCACTACTTTCTTCGATTTACCTCGTAAGACTCGTCAGAATCGGCCATATTGTTATTTGTTGTCGTCGGCAGTCGATTTATCAAATAAACACGAAAATCTTAATTCTCGACTTTTTTTAGTTGAGAACGTTTTGAGTTTTTCAAAAAGTTGAAAAAGTTGAAATGAAAAGGTACCGCTGCAAATAAGCTAATTTCAGTAAAAGTCCCGCTACAATTAGCATTTCAGCACAAATAAACGCACAATACATTTTGAAGTTAATCTCTTTCTCAAATATTTAGATCTTTATAAGAACTGATAAACTACTAAAAAAACTTATAATCTGTTTTCTAAAATATTAAGATCTTTTTACAAAAACGATACCAAATATATTTAGGAACTGTTAACTATTAAACATCTTATAAGCTATTTTCTAAAATATTAGGTTTTTTTACAAAAATAATACCAAATATATTTTAGGAACTCATAAGCTATTTTCTAATATATTAGGATCTTTTTACAAAGAAAATACCAAATATACTTTAGGAACCGATAAACTTGTAAACAACTTATAACCAACCTATTTTCTATAATATTAATATCTTGTAAATATACCCAAACCGTAAAAGAAAAAAGAAAAAAATAAGGAATCGGCAGAGGTGAGAGTATGGTGAAGGTGGAGTTGGGTCGTGGGAGATTGTTGATGGAAGTTGTTGAAGCAATTAAAGGACTGGTCGAGTCTGCATATTTCGATTTCTCTCCAACGCAGATGTCTGTGAATGCCATTGATTCGAATGGTGTGATAGTGAATCTCGTGCTCAGGTCGAACAACTTCAATTCCTACGAATGTCCATTCGAACAAACCATGGGAATCGACCTCGATCGCATGTACAATGTTTTTCAGTTATGTGGACACGATGATAGTTTGACCCTTGAGTCTGTCAGGGACTACGCTGTCAAGTTAATCTTTACCAGTCCCGGTATGCTCTCTCTCTAGATCTCTCTCTCTCATCATCGGGTTTTATGTTGAATTGGTTTGTTTTGTTTTGTCGCAGATAGAGATACAATTGCTACTGCTCAGTTGAATCTTGTTTCGGATTTTCTCTGGACTGATTTCGTGATAAAAGATACTGAGCCTTATGCTACTGTTAGAATGCCATCTTCGGGGCTTGAAAGCATGTGCAAGATGCTTATCGTTGCTTCTGACACAAGTAACCCTCTTTTTTTTTTTTTTTTTTCGTAATTATATCTATATCTTTCCCCTCCCTCCGTATGTGTTACGGAGTCATAGACGAAAAGAATCTTTTGTAATTGAATTGATTTGAATTTTTCGAAAATAAAATATAATCATGAAATAAAGAGATAAAGTCTGCAACCATCAATGGAGAAGTTCTATAATCGCCTGATCCCATCTCCCGAACACCCTTGTTTTTCCATTTATTTTCTTCCAATTCAGCAAATGGTCAATATGAACATTAAATAATTGTAACTTGTATTTCCCTTTTAATCGATGGACGTACCGTTTTAGCCAATTCTCGCTAGGATATCTGAAATTATAAAGTTTTTAGTAATTATGAAAACAAAATACGTGTTTTGCCTGATTTGACCTTACCTCAGTGTGTGTGGTTGTAACTTATCCTGTAATAAATGAAAAGTTTAGTCACTTGCGAGATTCGTGCTGTATAACCCCTCCTCGGTGTGAACGGTTGCTTGCAGTTATTATCTCGGTTACAAAGGAACAAGTGAAGTTCTCGATAATATGTGATACTGGAGCTATAGACTATACGTTCGTGCAAAGAACAGTTCCTGCCGACAAGGTTGATGATTCGTCTTGCCTTTCCTTAGCATATAACATATTAATCGAATGTGATGAACTTGCAAAAATTTCCCAATACGATTACGCGTTTCTTTCTTTTCTTGTGTTGCATGCAGCCAGAAGATGAGACAGTGATACAAATGCATGAGACAATGGAGCCAGTGAGTATGATGGTTGATCTTGAGTACTTGAAGGTATTCACAAAGGCAACTCTTTTGTCAAAAACAGTTACCCTAAAGTTCTGTCCTGATGATAATTTGGTTGTTGTGTACCAAATTCCAAGATTTGGCTTTTTAAAGTTCTGCATGCCAAAAGAGTAATCAAATTATTTATTTATTGAGATGTTGGATTATTTTGTACTAGTTCAAAGGATAATTACAGTTTTTCTCCCTATATTAATCAAGGTTGTACAAAAGCGGCAATCGGGTCGGAGGCGGTCAGGGACCGACTTACGATTAATCGGTGCGGCGGTGATTAATCGGTGATAAATCAGTTTTTAAAATTTAATATAATATATTTCTAGATATTATTTACAAATACTCAAAACATATATAAAAAGATATTCAAACATAGTTATATCTCCATCATGTATGTATTCTAATAAAATAATAAAAGTTTAATAATAATAAGATCATAATACATAAATATCCATATAAAATATAAATAAAAAAGCAATTTTTTTGAATTTATATTTATTCTTGAACTTTCCTAACATACATCATTAATTCTTAACAATAACAGTTAACATAAACAAAATAAAACATAAACAAAAAAAACTCACTAGAAGGCAAGATAAGCCAAGATAAGGCAATATAAGCCATGATTATTTAATTGTGGCTGCTCGACCAGGAATTTATTGGGATACCAAACATCAAATTAAGTCCAACTTTTTAGTTAATCATGACTTATCTTGGCAACCAAATAGGACCTTAATATATAAATATATTAAAAAAATTAAATCTAATACAAAATTTAGATTATTTTTTGATTATTTTATTTCTATGATTTTTTTAATTGTCAGAATTCGCAATGGTCAAATAAAATAAATTTCATTTTCACCCCTCAGTTTTGAAGGGCAATGCAGGCATTATGTAAAATATGTTTTATTTTGACTGGGATGTGTAAAAAACTAAAATACCCCATCACATTTTAATATACTCCAATTTTACCTTTAATTTAATTTAACCTCAATTTTGACGCATAATTCGATTTTGAGTATAATTTCGCTCGTCGCCGCTGTTGACTTTTTTTTTCCGGATTTTTCCGCCGTTTTCCGACGTTGACTTTTTCAAAAAAATATTTTTTTCTCTTGATTTTTCTCCCGATTTCTAGTGTTGACTTTATCATATTTTTTTCTCTTTTTCTCTTCTTTTCTTTACTTTTTTTTTCTCCCCTAATTTTTCCGTCAGTAAACGCTGGCGTTGACTGTTTAAAAAAAAATTGAATTACTTTTTACTTTAACATCTTTTTGCCGCATCTAAACATCAATTGGTAGCATACTCGTGCATGGGGTAGTAATTGTAATAAGAAATATGTCTTTATAGTGTAAGATTTTCATGATTGTCCTTTTCTGTTTCTTCATTGTCTGTCAAATTTTGCAACCAACGTTTCATTGAAAATAAATACAAATTTAGGATGATTCAATTTATTGTAAATAGATATGGCAATAGCTGTCTAATGAATTGAAAATATACTTGCGGAAAAAAGTGTTATAAAAAAAGTGTTTAAGATTGATCAAGAACACCAAATGAAGCACCAAATGAAGCATATGTTAATGAAGGTGCTATTCATGTACACAACAAACATATACACCATAAGTATGAATAAATTGGTTATTTAAAAAAAATGTAAAAATTTGCCTTAATTAATAGGGTCCATTTGATATACGTCCCTAGGATGGAAAATATATAGAGATAGGTTCACCCCTAAAATTATTCCTTTGAGATACCCCTGAAGAGGCACAAATACTATTGTGCCCTTAATTGCAATTTTCAGCAAACTGCATGCAATATTTCTCCCCTGCATTCATCATTCAGCATTAGAAAGCATTCAGCATAATGCCCAACTCTATTTAGCATTTTTTGGTCTGCATTTATCAATTTATATACTCCAGATTTTTCGGGCAGATATCAATTTCGGGCAGATTTTTTGGGCCTGCATTTTTTAATAAAAGAATATAAATATTTATTTTATTATTATTTTACTATTTTTTATTTTTTTTAAATTTTTTTATTTTTTTTTAATTTTTCAACTTTTTAATTTTTTTTTCAAAAATAATTTTTTTTTTATTTTTTTTAATTTTTTAAATAATTTCTAATAATTTTTCAGTACATAAAGTGACTACACATGACTATACTATAGTACATGCTCTATAGTCACGTTTAGTTATATATAGACTTGTACCTTATTTTTACTCTAAAGTTATATATAGTCATGTACCTTCTTTTTACCCCAAAGTTAGATATAGTTATGTGTAGTTATATAGTCGACCGATTATGTAGACCGCTAATCTATATATAATATAAAAAGAGAATCTATGTCCTCAATGATTGACATGTGGCAAATGATGATGTCATTTATCAAAATTGCTTAGTTGGAGTTCAATTGATGAGGTGGATTCTTCAATTGGTGAGTTGTCAATTTTATTTTGGTATGTATTTAAGTTATTTCCTATTTAACATTTATACACTCATTTAAACAATTACCACATGTATGTTATTTACTAATTTAATATTATATAAATTCGAAAAAAAATTCGAGTTTATATTTTCAATATTTCAAAATATATTTATTGAACAAATTCAGGATACTCAATTTTTTTTACGAAATTCAAATAATTTTCAGGTTTTTTTTTAATATTAAAATATTAAAATAAAAGAATGCAGTTTTTTTTTCTCAATATTTTGCAATATAATATCCATTCAATAAAAAAAGTATATTAGCAAAAATATTTTATTTTTACATTGTACTATTTAATAAAAATATACAATATTTTTTGTTAATAATAATTTGACATTGCGTATTTCTATTATACGTTCAAACAATTATACTTGATTAATTTATACTTTTTTTATTAATACATTATTATATTAAGACGATGATTGTATTAATACATATATATATATATATATATATATATATATATACATATATATATATATATATATATATTTATATATGTATATATATATATATATATATATTTGATATTCATTTATTTATAAAAATATTTTGATTGTGTATATACTGATTTTAAGTTTGTGAGAATTTGGTAGTGACATAAATGCACAATGCAATATCTAATTTAAATCCAACAACTTTCCTTTTACAATTTATCCTAACTTCCCTTTAGTTAGCAAATCGTAAATGGCAATATATATGCTGACTTTGAAATCAAATCATAATTGCAATCAAAGCAATTATTAGTTTTTTTTTTTTTTTGCGAGCAATAATTTCGGTGTAAGAATAACACGAATTGCCAAAAACGAAGGCATCAAATCAATGCTAAAAACAAATGCATCAAATCTACTCAAATTATATTTCCTTATTCAATTATTTTATAATATTTCTTTTCATATTAATTATGTCCAGTTATGGTAAAAATATTAATTTTATATGTAAAAATATATATTCATTCGATGTTACATATTCTACACATGTTTTGAATATGGAAAGAATGCTCATCGTATTTAGACCCGATCATGATTAATTAATTTTTAGGAAACTTTATTTGATATTGCCGCCCAAATCAAATTTTTGAAATTTGAACGTGTATATTTTGAAAACTATATAAACACCTTACATCTATATAATTTTTACCAGCATTTACATCTACTCGAGCGACACTTTATAACAATGTATGCGTGTTTCATATTCACATGTTGTACCTCTATTTACATGTTTTAAGTTTTATATTGTCTGCGTTTTCATATTTTACTTATCGCTGTTATTGTTTTGGTTGCAGCTTATAATCACGATTCCAAAGTCTTCGGTACGTAATGTCTTATGTGTATGTTCAATCCACTCTAAGCGTACTTTGCAATAAGTATTTATTACTATGTCTGTTTTTGTTTTTGTTTTTGTTTTGCAGATGTCATAAGACTAGGGAAAATTGTCATCAATCAAATACCGTGATAGATTTATATTTTTTGAATTCAATCTTTTCTATTGTTTGGTTGTATTGCATATGAGATTATTTTTTCCAAAGATAGGAAATTTGACGTCTTTGATTCATCCAAAATAAGAGACTATATGGAATTTCTATTGTGCGTTTTATGGGTCAAGTACATTTATCTGAACTTATTTATCGGATTTTTGAGATTTTATCTCCATAACACTAGGCGAACATAAACTATGGCACTATCATACACCTGCCACCTAGAAGTTTATTCAAAATATCTCTCTCTCTCTCTCTCTCTCTCTCTCTCTCTCTCTCTCTCTCTCTCTCTCTCTCTCTCTCCATTGGCATTTTTTTAATATATTTGCATCTATATATTATGCATTATATTATTGATTTTTGTTTTGTTTATTGTTTATATTTGTAGCATATTAACAAAACAAACATTTTGTTGAGGCAACTAGATTAATTAGAAGTAAAATAGTTCACTTTGAAGTTCAAGGTCGAAGTTCTTCAATAAAAACTCACTCGAGTTTGAGGATGGAGTTTACAATAGGTTCGAAGAATTGTGTGAATCACATGTGATTTATGCGGGGAATAAATATTCGTTTGCGGCAATCCATACAAAGAAAATATGCAATTCATATTTTTCTACGTTTTAAATATGATTGATTTTTTTTTTGTTCATTGAAGTTTTTTAATGTATGCACATATACAATTCATCCATGTACGATTGTATTTGTTTCATTTTATTTGTTAATATGAATGTTTATTGTAAAATAACTTAAATCTCATCAATCAACTACATGTTCATATTAAAACAACAGAAATATTAGTACATTATATAAGATCATATATTTAAGATTTTATTTGTTTCGCTCGCTGCTATTATGTCCGTTCTTCCCTTTTGTTTTTTATAATTAATGAAATAATGAAAAAGTGTTATTTTATCATTAATCAACTAAAAGTTCATCTATCTAAGTAACATGATAATTGTATATTTATACATAAATGCATGTATTAAATCAATATTATGTATTTCAATTACTATATGATTAAAGTTTTCGTAATTAACACAATTTGACAAAATTTTCTACTTATGTTTAAATATATTCCATCCAATCTTTATTCAATTTAGAAAATATTTAAGACTATGGATGAATTTAATGGTCTGTCATATTATAATCCACGTAAAATCATTATTCTTACCAATTACTCCCTCTAAAAATGTAATTAATATGACATTATTATAATATGTTCCATGTAATTGTCCAACAATAAATTTTCATTAGATACCACTGAGTCCCTCTAACTAATATGGCATTATTGTAATATGTTCCATGTAATTGTCCAACAATAAATTTTCCCACATTTTACGTAATACTGTTTGGTTGATTTCTCATTCCTAAAAAAAATATATTCGAATAAATTAATGAAACATAGGTACAACTTTTAAGTATTAGTATTAGTATTAATATTATTAGTATTAGTATTAGTTTAATATTAGTATTAGTATTAGCACCGGTGGAACTAGAAGTGGGCAGCCAGGGGCCCATGACCCCCGATGATTTTGCTTATTTCCTACTAATTACTAATATATTATTTTAATTATATGTTATTATGTATTAGCCACCTTAAGAAATAATATTTATATTTTATCAACTGAGTTTTCTTTTAAATTTGATTATTGATTCTATATTTCTAATCAATATTTGATTTTTTTTAACAATATCACACATTCACGTAATTATCTACATATATAATATCCTTAGAAAAAATCAACTACAGTAAGTACCGTCGAGCAAGTCACGCCCCTACAAACTTTTAGTATACCATCTAAAATTCCGACCCCCCAACTATATATACCTGGTTCCGCCACTGAGTATGAGTATAGTATCAATATCAGTATCAAAATTAATATAAGTATCAGTACAAAAATCAGTATCACTATTAGTATTAGTATTAATGTTAGTATAAGTATTAATATTAGTATCAATATTAAAATACGTATTAGTATTACTATCAATATAAAAAGCAGTATGAGTATCAATATTAGCATTAGCATTAATATTAGTATCAATATCAGTATCAGTATCAGAATCAGATCAGTATCAATATGAATATAGATATAAAAGTAAGTATTAGTATAAAAATCAGTATCAATATCAATATTAGTATTAACATTAGTATTAGTATCAGTGTCAGTATAAATATCAGTATCAGTATCATAATCAGATCAATATCAATATCAATATCAGTATAAATATAAAAATAAGTATTATTATAAAAATCAGTATCAATATCAATATTAACAATAACATTAGTATCAGTATTAGTATAAAAATCAGTATCAGTACAAGTATCAGTATCAATATTAGTATGAGTATGAGTATGAGTATGTATTAGTATTAGTATTAGTATTAGTTATAGTATTAGTATTAGTATCAGTATTAGTATCAGTATTAGTATAAAAATCAGTATCAGTACAAGTATCAGTATGAGTATGAGTATGTATTAGTATTAGTATTAGTTATAGTATTAGTATTAGTATCAGTATTAGTATCAGTATTAGTATCAGTATTAGTATTAGTATTAGTATTAGTATTAGTATTAGTATTAGTATTAGTATTAGTATTAGTTAGTATTAGTATTAGTATTAGTATTAGTATTAGTATTAGTATTAATATTAGTATTAGTATTAGTATTTCTGTTAGTAATAGTTTAGTATTAGTATTAGTATTAGTATTAGTATTAGTGTTAGTATTAGCGTTAGTGTTAGCGTTAGTGTTAGTGTTAGTGTAAGTGTTTGTATAAGTATTAGTCTTACAATTATTGTTAGTGTTATATGGACTTTTATACATCGCTATGTCGAGAGTTAAGAGTAGAGGTGGCATAAAGATATTCATCAAGTCGGAGCGGCGAATAATGTTACTTACATTGCAATGTTGAGAGTTAAGAGTATATGTGGCATACAAATATTTATCAAGTCGGAAACGACGACCTATGTTACTTGCAATGTTGCCTGCAAATAAGTTTTTCAGCGACTATGAAGATAATCAGAAAAATTGTATATTATGATTCAGATACACATTTGTTTTTTCTATTATTTACATGTATAATTATTTTTTTCGTGTTAGGTTTATTTGCAATTTATGCTAATCTTATTGTCGATCGCAATGGGTTTTTTTCTTTAATAAAGGTAATTTAGTATAAATCGTATTTATTTTCTTATATTTTAATTTATGTTTCAATAATGTGTATACAATGAAAAATGTGAATGTTACTTGCAAGGTATTAGATGAGTTGTAGGCCATGTCAATGCATGAGTTATGAAATACTACTTTGATAATTAAGTTTCATATTAAAGATTTGAGTGTATTGGACGAGATGATTGTACCATTTGAGTCAGATAATGTCTCTTATTATTTTTTTAGCCCAAATTTTCGTATTTTATATTTTATTTTATCATTTTTTTTGTCTAACTCAGAACTTCAATCAAATGGAATGGATTTTTTTTTTAAGTTTCGGGCTATATCGTGTTATATATCAGCTATTCAAAATTTTAGGATTATATCGTATTATATATCAATTATTCAAAGTTTTTGTATGATTATTTTATTTAAAACTTTTTTTTAAATTACCCCCATATATAGCATTAGCATCCTCTTTTCATTCATAGAGATATTCGATTCACCTCCTCGATGTGTTTTAGCTATTAATACACTTTAATCTTAGAGCTGATCCCCGTGCATCGCACGGGTGATCTACTAGTTATATACCAAAAAGAACTTCATCGACACCAACAACAAAAATCACAATTTAAATCTTGATATTATAAATCAATTTGTACAAATATAGATGAAATACACAATCACATGCATATGTTCTTCAACAAAGAATAAATCATCACCATCACTCTACATTAAAAAAACCATATAACCCATACATGACTACATGTTACTCTACATATGACTATAGTCATCTACATGACTAGAGTAACATGTAGTAATGTTACTTTATACGACTATAATCATCTTTATGACTACAGTAACATGTAGTAATGTTACTATATACGTCTATAGTCATCTACAGTAACATGTAGTAATGTTACTATATATGACTATCTCATCTATAGTGTTCTATAATCTTAATGAATTTCACTTCATGTCGTACTTTTCACCATCATTCCTTATTGTATAGAAGTAGCAAAAACAACAATCCCTGTGGCAAAATATACGAGTTAGATAAAAAATTATATGTTTGTGTATATACTCATAACATCAAAACATGCAATTATATACTTACAACATCAAAATACCATACTTCCATTTTTCATAATTTTCAATCAGTATGGAATGCTTCTTCAGTGAAATACAAAAGAATATTTTCACTCTGTATAATTTACAACTATTTTTTTCTATTAGATATGGTTAGTGGCCGATACTTAACAACCACAACTCATGCACAACCCTAAAATAAAATAGAGTTAATAAGAAGAATAATTATTTGACTAAGTTGTAGATGTCTATTGAAATGAGTATGTCCTGCTCGAGAATTTATACAAAGCTAATAGTAGGTGGTTGTGTCTCTGGTATTGGTCTATCAATAGTCATTTCCAACACAGAAAATAGCTTAATATACACAAGTGAGAATTCAGCTTTCAAATAAGATTTATGAACGAAAGGTAGGGAATAAATTAGAATATATTATACCCAAGTCTTAGATGGTTCCATTCTCACTTTCTAGCCAAAATATGATAAAAAAAATTAAATAAAAAAAATAGCCATGGTTTGTAAAAACTAGACTTCTTCGGTTTTGTCTTCTTGGTGCGGCAAGTGGTACTTTGCATAGCCAATATTTCCGACGTTGTACTCAACCACCAAGGCTTTCCCTGGATACAGGGTTAGGGTGGTTGTATTTGATAATGGAGTTGCCTTTGTCGATAATTTCAGATGTTTAACGTCCAAGGTCAAAGACACTGGCTTAATCGTTTGTATCTCTACACACTTCAACTCATCTCCTGACTGTGGCCATATGACAAATTTCATGGAAGAAGACAAATAAAAAATTATTCTAGGTTATAAATTAATAGTAGCAAGTATATATTGGTAGTAAAAAAAGAAAGCGAAATCAACCTTGTCTATAGAAGTCTGCTTGCAGACAACACTTGCTATTATAGAGAAACAGTATGTTAAGAATTCCACTGTATCTTCCTTAACAGAGATCCGAACTACCAAAAACACCAAAGGTCAATCAACTATATATCCACAAAAATAAAATGTCGACTTAATTAAAGGTACAAGTAATTAAGTACCTGTTTTATCAATTAGGCCAAGTTTTGCACAAATATGTTCAAACTTGAGTGCTGGCATTTTAACTCTAGCATGAAACTCTAGATTTGCCAAGTCACGATACTCAGGAGGCACGGACAAGGGAGGAGCATCGGCAGAATGCATATTCGAGAACATAACTTCCAATGTCATAAATAAATAAATAAATAAAACAAAACAAACAGTTCTTCAGCACATATGGTTAGAATATAAAAATATACAGATTTCATATATAATTGAGAAGAATCAAAATAGATAAGTAAAAGATAAAAGATACATACTAGAATCCTCAAAATTGAAGGCAAGAAAGCCAGAAGTAATAGACATGAGGGCGATAACTCCATTGTAGTCATCGTGATCGCCGTCAAATATTTCGTAAACGTCGTTAATGTTCATGTTCATCGGCATAGACACTTTATGGTCGGATCGGTAGTCCTCCAGGTAATCCGACAGGAGCAACATCTCCACCCACGCTGCTCCACTCGAACTCGAGTGGAGAAACCGCATGAATAATCCCTTCTCGGTTAAATCGAAATACACATTGTGTGTAACATCTTTAATAGCTTCACACACCTTCTTAAAAATTCCAGCTGGCTTCAGCCTCAACATCGGGAATTTAGCTTACCGGATGTTTCGGATTACGGAATTTATATACAATCTGGGATTCCTATTATTTCTCTAGGTAGAATATTTCACCTTCCTTTTTTACTTGCCTGCATAACATTATCACTGATATTCTTTACATATTTCACTTTCTTACCATTAAATTGCCACAATTATATTTATATTAAGAATTTTTTATTTTTCTACATAATATAAAGAGATCAATGTTTTGAAACCAGACCGGTCCGGACGGTCGAACCGGGATTCGCCCGATCCGATCTGGTTCAGTGAAAAAAACCGGAAGTTCTTAAAACCCGGGAGAAAGACTGCAAACCGGAAAACCACCAAATCGAACAGGGAAACCGAAAACCGCTCCAAAACCCGGATTTCAGAGAATATGTTATTTGTTTACAAAAATAGAAAAAAGATTTGTCGATTCAAGCAAAACAAACTTACAGATCTGGAAGAAGAATGGAATCCAGATTTTATTGATCTTGAAGGTGATTTGGATTGTTTGTTGAAGAAAAAAAGACGAAGAAGGTGATAGAAGATTTTTTATAAACAGAAAAAAAAAACCAAATATATTTAAGAACCGATAAAGTATTAAATAACTTATAAGCTATTTTCTAATTAAGATTTGTTAACAAGGAAAATACCAAAAATACCGAACTTATAACCTATTTTCTAATTAAGATCTTGTAAATACTCGGATTGAAAAAAAAATCTTGTCTAACATCCGAAAATATTCCGAAAAATCCGAAACCCATCGTCCAAAGAACTGTGAAAGAAAAAAAAAAAAAAAAAAAAAGAAATCGGCAAAGGTGAGAGAGTATGGTGAGGGTGGAGTTGGGTCGTGGGAGATTGTTGATGGAAGTTGTTGAAGCAATTAAAGGAATGGTCGAGTCTGCATATTTCGATTTCTCTCCAACGCAGATGTCTCTGAATGCCATTGATTCGAATGGTGTGATAGTGAATCTCGTGCTCAGGTCGAACAACTTCAATTCCTACGAATGTCCATTCGAACAAACCATGGGAATCGACCTCGATCGCATGTACAATGTTTTTCAGTTATGTGGACACGATGATAGTTTGACCCTTGAGTCTGTCAGGGACTACGCTGTCAAGTTAATCTTTACCAGTCCTGGTATGCTCTCTCTCTCTCTCTCTAGATCTCTCTCTCTCATCATCGGGTTTTATGTTGAATTGGCTTGTTTTATTTTGTCGCAGATAGAGATACAATTGCTACTATTGAGTTGAATCTTGTTTCGGATTTTCTTTGGACTGATTTCGTGATAAAAGATACTGAGCCTTATGCTGTTGTCCGAATGCCATCTTCGGGGCTTGAAAGCATGTGCAAGATGCTTATCGTTGCTTCTGACACAAGTAACCCTCTTTTTTTAATTTTTTTTTCGTAATTATTTCTATATCTATCCCCTCCCTCCGTATATGTTACGGAGTCATAAACTAAAAGAATCTTTTGTAATTGAATTTATTTGAATTTTTCGAAAATAAAATAAAATCATGAAATAAAGAGATAAAGGCGGCAACCATCAATGGAGAAATGCTATAATTGTCCGATCCCGATTCCCGAAAACCCTTGTTTCTTCATTTATTTTCTTGCAATTCAGCAAATGGTTAATATGAACATTAAAAAATTGTAACTTGTATTTCCCTTTTAATCGATGGACGTACCGTTTTAGCCAATTCACGCTAGGATATCTGAAATTATAAAGTTTTTACTAATTATGAAAAAAAATACGTGTTTTGCCTGATTTGATCTTACCTCAGTGTGTGTGGTTGTAACTTATCCTGTAATAAATGAAAAGTTTAGTCACTTGCGAGATTCGTGCTGTATAACCCCTCCTCGGTGTGAACGGTTGCTTGCAGTTATTATCTCGGTTACAAAGGAACAAGTGAAGTTCTCGATAATATGTGATACTGGAGCTATAGACTATACTTTCGTGCAAAGAACAGTCCCTGCCGACAAGGTTGATGATTCGTCTTGCCTTTCCTTAGCATATAACATATTAATCGAATGTGATGAACTTGCAAAAATTCCCCAATACGATTACGCGTTTCTTTCTTTTCTTGTGTTGTATGCAGCCAGAAGATGAGACAGTGATACAAATGCATGAGACAATGGAGCCAGTGAGTATGATGGTTGATCTTGAGTACTTGAAGGTATTCACAAAGGCAACTCTTTTGTCAAAAACAGTTACCCTAAAGTTTTGTCCTGACGATAATTTGGTTGTTGTATACCAAATTCCAAGATTTGGCTTTTTAAAGTTCTGCATGCCAAAAGAGTAATCAAATTATTTATTTATTGAGATGTTGGATTATTTTGTACTAGTTCAAAGGATAATTACAATTTTGCTCCCTATATTGATTAAGCAATTTGATAGTTTTATTTTGGGTAAAGGATTTGGGTCCGGTGGTTTATGTTCTTGATGATGGGAGGAGCAAAAGTTTTTAACAATGTTGTCAGAATCGGATCGGACACAAAATCGGTTAGGGATTTGGGTCACGGTTGGACCGGTTCAAACGGTTTCAACCCGGGTTTTTTACTTATTTATTTATTTAACTAATTTTTATATATAATTTGAGTTGATTGTTTTTTAAATATGTATTTTTCACAAAATTAAAACTTCCGCATAAAATAGTGATTTTTTAAACATAAATAATAAAGTAAAATATTTCACAAATATTATAATAAATTATATTAGTGATTTTCTAAACATAAATAATAAATTAAAATATGTCACAGTACAACTATAGTATAATAAATAATATTTTAGTTGCAAAAAAACCCTAATTTGTTTATTGCGGCCAACTCATAACCATCTATGCCTTCCAATGTTTTCTTTCAAGCGGCGGCTCCATCTGGCAGCTCGGTGCAAATTTTTTTTTCTTCTACTCTTCTTTCTTTTTCCTATAACTCGTCCACCAAGCAAAATATTATTATAATTGTCACAGAACTTGCACACTCTCAACCCTCATTCCATAAATCAAAATCAGGTATATATATATATATATATATATATATATATATATATATATATATATATATATATATATATATATATATATATATATATATATATATATATATATATATATATATATATATATATATATATATATATATATATATATATATATATATATATATATATTTTTTTTTTTTTTTTTTGTTTTTGGCCTTTTGTCTTGAAATCGGGTTTGACTGGGTTTTTTGCCGGTTTTGCGCGAGTTTTTCACCAGTTTTGAGTGGTTCGACCGGGCCACTATTATCTATATTTTGCTCTGTTTTATTGTGATACGGATCTCTTGAGTATCATAAGAATTCTTTACGAAATGTAAGAAAACTCTTCTTTATTATTTCTTTTTAGAGTTAATTGCACAGACCCCCTGTGAAATATCTAATTACCAAAAAAGTCCCTATGTTAAAACAATTAGCATTGACCCCCCTATGATGTGTTTTATTTAGCCCACTGCTCCCTATCCAAAATAACAGCGTTGACTTACATCAAATGACTAAATTACCCTTCATTAGAAATACAAAAAATACTTAAAAAAACACGTCATCATCTTCTTCATCTCTCACCACAACCTCCGCCATTGCCGCTGCAGATCGGAGAAGCCCACCAGCTCATTTCACTTCAAGAACATAGTCCTCAGCCCCGATGAAATCCCCAAGTTGCAAACCACAACACCAACCGATATATACATTGCTTTCTTGAAAAACCGAGAGTCTCCGCCATTAATTTGATCTCTTCAATCACCACCGATATATACACTGCTTTCTCCATCATTGCCCCATGCCAACCATTAATCTTAAAAACATTCAATTATTTACCCTCTATTTTCATTTCATCAAATCTAAGAGGAAAAAAAAAGAAAGAGGAACGACACTTGAAGAAACATGTACTCTTGAATCTCTGTTATTGGAATCTTTGTTAAATGTGTGGACGCTCCATTTGCCTTTGTTGGAGGAGGAACTGATGGAGTTCTTGTGGCTGCACTTACGAGGGAGGGTCAGGGCGCGATCGAGGATTTGGTGAGATCGGCGGAGGCATGGCGGAGTGTGGACGGTCGTAGACAGCGGCGTAGTGTGGCGAGGCGGGGCGGCGGAGCAGAGGTGGGGGAGCTTAGGTCTGATGGAGAAGAGGGCTTATTCGAAAATGCCATGGACTAAATTGAAAATTTTAAAAACTTCATTTTGGTGCTCTTAAAAATTTCTGGGTGATTTTGTAATTCTTGAAATTTATGAGACAAGGGTATTTATGTAGTTTTAGGTCAAAAAACGCACCCCCAGTTGCACAGTTCGCGCGTGCAGCGCACGATTCGCTGTCAGGGGGCTTAACGCCTTTGACTAATTTTCATAGGGGGGTTTTTGCTAATTTTTTTAACACGAGGACTTTTTCGACAATTAGAGATTACACAGGGGAGATTCTTGCAAAAAACCCTTTCTTTTTATTATAAAACCCTTGCATAATACGACTATTTAAAGAGAATAAAACCCTAGAATCCTAATCTAACTAGAAAAGATAATTACCTATATTAATAAATATTTCTCCTAACCACTAACTCACGGCAATATATATATTATAAATATACTAATTTAATTAATTAATAATAAACTATTAACTAAACTAATAATAAACAATATATATTAAATAATATATCGTATCAAACCACCCCTCTTGAAATGGACCTTGTCCTCAAGGTTCGAGTCAATTTGGTCCCTCTCCTTTGCGTTTCCACCTATGTTTGACTTCATCGACTTGCTTCCCGATTGACTCCGAAAAACACAATGAACGACCGAGCTTTTTAATACATTGTTCATGCTGATTCAACGAAATTCCAAAGGCTACTTTAGCGAAAATATTCAATCGACAAATAAACTTTTTCAATCGTCTTTTTAGATTTTATCTCATCCAAACTGACCATCGGTTCTTCGTCTCCTTTCTTTTGAACACCATGGAAATCTCTTAATATCCACTGTATCTGTTCGTTCTCCTCCCTGGTTAATTTCTCGTCATGTCCCACTTTATCTCAGTTGAATCTGATCCTTCTTCTTTCGGCGAACTCACAAAAACTTGAGGCTCTTCGAAAAAGTCATCGTCGTCCTCTTCCTCTCCCTCCGGCGATAGGCTCGGCAGCGGCAGTGGTGGTGGCTCTTCGAAAAAGTCATCATCATCATCTTCCTCTTCCTCCAGCAATAGGCTTGGCAGTGGCAGCGGCGGTGGCGTGGGGGTGTTTGGCGGCGGTCCCTTCGGCTTTGATGATGGCGTTGACGTCGTCCTTGACTTTGTTCGAGCAATTTCTGAAAACTAATCTGTAATTTCTCTACGGATTTTTCCAATCGCTCCAACCGTCTTGTTTCTGACATCATGATTTTCACAAAGTTTTGATGTGATCTCAACTTTGCTCCAGCTTAGCTTTGATATAATCGCTGCTTTGCTAACGAAGCGTTGGTGTGATCGCAACTTCGCTCTGATACCAATTGATACGTTCTCTTGAGTATCATAAGAATTCTTTACGAAACGTAAGAAAACTCTTCTTTATTATTTCTCTTTATTATAAAACCCTATCATAATACGACTATATAAAGAGAATAAAACCCTAGAATCCTAATCTAACGAGGAAAGATAATTACCTATACTAATAAAATACTAAATATTTCTACTAAATATTATAAATATACTACAAAGTGTCTAGTGTATAGTATAATCATAAAAAGGGCTTTCAAGGGGTAGAAATGTAATTATCCGAAAATGTTAGGGCTGAGTTTGTAATTAAAGGAAAATGGGAGGAAAAGAATATGTGCAACAAGCAATATTTAAAAATTACTGGGAGTAATATATAAAAATGGCTTATCAGGGGTTGAAATGTAATTATCCGAAAATTTTAGGGCTGATTTCATAATTACAGGAAAATGGGAGGACAGATGGGGTGTAGCAAGCAATAATTTAAAAATTCACAGGTGTACAATATAATAATAAAAATGCCTTGCAAGGGTGGTACTGTAATTAACCAAATTATCCCACCCAATCTTCCAACCATTCATGAGTTTTTGGCTCATTCGGATTCTATCCCATAGATCCGTATCCAACCAACCAAACCTGAAACACCATTCATATTTTACTAATCCATATAGTCAATGAACATGTTTGTTAATTGTACGGGAGACTTTTCTGAATAGCAATTTTCATCCATATTGTAAATAATGAATTTAATAAAACTAAAAAAAAAATCACAAAACTTCAAACACAGTACTGTAGTGATCAAATTCTATTACAATCGAGATACAAATACAATGCCTGCTATTTATCAAGACAATTCGTCGATAGTTATTTTTACAAGCTTCAAACAATATATAATATATAAAAAGTTAATCGGATTATAATTGTAATTTAATAAAAAAAATTACATTCATGCAAACTTGTAATAAAGTTCTTCAAATTGGAGATGAACGTGAGTATAGAGAGAGAGAAAACCTAACTACCTACCTAATAAAAAAGGTAAAAAAACCTAATTACCTTAATTAGTGGGATTCTTTTAGTATTAATCTAGTCAAAGCTAACTCTAGTTTTGAAAGGAAAAATTCTAATTATTAAAAAAGGTAAGAACTAATAATAATAAAAAAAGACACCTTGAATTGGCCCATACTTTTTGAAATTGCAAAACGACCCGACCCGGTCCGATTAGCGGATTCTTGTATCACATTCTTCGTCTTTTTCATCTTATTACCGCCGACAACAAACAATCCAACCCAAATTACCCAAATCCCTCAAGATCAATAAAATCTGGATTCCATTCTTCTAAGACTTCAACTTTTGCACATAATTCCAGATCTGTAAGTCAAATCTTTTTTAGTCGACAAATCTTTTTTCTATTTTCGTAAACAAATAACATATTCCCTGAAATCCGGGTTTTGGAGCGGTTTCCGGACTCCCGGTACCCTGGTTTTATGAACTTCCGGTTTTTTTCATAGACCGGATCGGGCGAATCCCGGTTAACCGGTTCAACCGTCCGGACCGGTCCGGTTTTCGAATATTGATTTTTTTATATTATGTAGAAAAATAAAATATTCTTAATATATAATTGTGGCAATTTAATGGTAAGAAAGTGAAATATGTAAAGAATATCAGTGATAATGTTATGCAGGCAAGTAAAAAAGGAAGGTGAAATATTCTACCTAGAGAAATAATAGGAATCCCAGATTGTATATAAATTCCGTAATCCGAAACATCCGGTAAGCTAAATTCCCGATGTTGAGGCTGAAGCCAGGTGGAATTTTTAAGAAGGTGTGTGAAGCTATTAAAGATGTTACACACAATGTGTATTTCGATTTAACTGAGAAGGGATTATTCATGCGGTTTCTCCA